GTGAGTGACCCTTTCATCTGGCCCTTCATTCTAGTCAAATCCCAGAGTATCTGACTAATTAATATACAAGAAACAGCTGGGGAGCTGCTGCCAAAGACAAAATGAAAAGTGGCTGGCTGAAGCTCAAAAAAAAAAAACAACGGAAATCGCTGCCCACGAGAGAGTAAGAAGGACTTCGGAATTGTGATGAGGATGTTGGGGTGGGGAGGCTAATGGGAGGTTTGTATGCAAATACAAGTTTCACTGCTCCCAGAACTTTAAAAAAAAGAAAGAAAGCAATAGAATACAAGAGACAGTCTCAGAGCGGTTTTAGTAAGTTTGAGGCAGCGGTTTTACACACACACACACATCCATGCACCCATACGTATGCCTGTGTGCACAGTGCATATTTCTTATTGTGAGGTATGGCTTAAAAAGTTTGGAAGCCCCTGCTCTAAAGGCCAGGCCCCAGGCCCCTGAGCCCAGAAAGACTGTCACTGAATGTCAAGAATAGCTTTGTGATCCTGTCCTGTCTTTTTGTAAACATTGGGGTGATTAGGTCAAAGTCGCAAGGATGGACAGAGGACAGAAAACTCAGGTGCCAAGCCCCAGTGCGGTCGCTGACTCAAGCAGAGCCTGGAGACCAAGAGGAAGGCCGAGCTGCTGTGATAACTAGGCGACGAGGTGATGTGGTCACGGTGGCTCCATTCTGTGTAGTCACTGCGGCCAAGGGAGCAGGAATAGGCCATTGACTGTGTATCTGCTATGCACCAAACCCTGTCTGTTCTTCTTTACTTTCTTTATTTAGCTCATTTGAATCTCACAGCAAAACTATGGGGTAGCTCTTAGTCCTGCTGTCAGGATGAGAGAACAGACTTCGGAGGACTGAATCAATCATACAAAAAGGGGTTTTATAGGAACTGTTCATCCGGTGCTTGGAGAGAGGTGAAGTGAGGATGATGAATGGTCTCCTCTTAAGAAGTTTCCAGAGATAACTGAACTCAGACTTTCTGGGGAGCGGAGCAGTTGCCCTCTTTCTTCTAAATCTCCCGACTCATCCAATTTCGCCCCAGCCAAAGACTGGCCGAGTGAAGAAAAATGATAGAATTGCATTCTTTCCCATGGCTAGAGAAAGGTACCAGATTGGAAACCAACTCTTTCAAGGGGAATTTAAATTGCAAATTGCAATTTCACACCCAGTTTCAACCAGTCAACACTTATTGCCTGTGAATGCCATATTTACTGCCAACTATTTACTGGTGTCTTACTACGTGCCTACCTTCATGCTAAGTAATTCATGTACATATCATTTTGTCTTCAGAATTACCCCATGGAGAGGGTACTCTTTGTACCCATTTTCTAGAAGAGGGAATGAAGGTGTGAGAGGGTAATAATTTGCCTAAGGTGACACAGCTAACACACGGTGGGTTTGGACTTTGAGTCCAGCTCTGTCAGCCTTCAGAGTTTGGGCTCTTAACCACCAAACAATAATGATTTCTCCATGATGTCCAAGGTACCATACATAAGTGTGGGGATTGGACAAAAGTGTCAGTGAGCACTCTCTGTCCTCAAAGAGGTTTCAGGACTGTTGAGAAGGTAAAATATACACACATGGAAACATGGTTAACAACATCTTACTGCAGTGTGTGTGGGGTCAAAGGGAAAACTGGAGAAGATTCATGGAGGGAGCGATTGCTGGAGCTGAGCTGGGCAGGATGAGCAGGGATTGGCTAAAAGCAGAAAAGTGGGTTGGTCCCAAGGGTAACTGAACAGATATTAGACTCCTAGGTTTAGAGCAGAGAGCAGCACAGTTTCTTCAGCTGAACAGAGTGGGTCCCCATCCAGGACCTCTGAGGCCTTCAGCAAGTTATTTAGTTTTCCTAAGTTTCAATTTCCTCGTCTGTGACAAGGGAGTCACACCCATCTCAGAGGGCTGCTGGGAAGAGTACGCATGCCCAAGTGCTCGGGAAGAGTACGCATGCCCAAGTGCTCGGGAAGAGGAGGCAGCCATTCCTCTCCCCTCTCCCCACCAGGTTAGGTTCAGTTTTCTGGTAGAGTTGGCTTGCTTCTTCCCTTGACCTTACCACTGAAGATCTTAGAAAGAGCCCTACCTGCTGAGAGAAGCCCTTCACCACACGCCTTTGCTTGAGGTTTGTCTCTCCATCCAAGTTGGCCGTCTCCAGGTGGCAGATCCCGCTGGGGTCCGAGGAAAAGAGCAGGAGTATGTCTGCTGGGATGATCTCATTGCATTGCATTTGGACAAAATCTCCCACACGCACATCCTTCCAGCGCTTCTGCACATAGCTCTGGGCTTTCCTTGGGGGTGGGGGAGAGAGAGACAGGGCTCAGAGCGAGTTCTCAGGCTCTCCAGAAAAATTAGTGAGTGAGCGCAGTAAGGCAGAACCTGCACCTAAATATCTCCCAATCATGAGACTGCTCTGTATTTCACCTTGCCCCAAATGACCACCATCATAATCTTCCTAGAAAAGCTGAGCATGATCTCTAGAATCCCACAATAAAAGATTTATCCTTATGATCATTTAGAGTTTCAACTGGCTGTTGGCCGTGGACTGGGTTCTGTGCTCAGCCCTGGCTACCGACCAGGAGAAAAAAATTGAAAGGAGAAGGTGACAGTCATATTAGCATGTGCTCTTAATATACATCATTTCCCAGGATAGCCAGTTGTCACCGCAGAAGGCAGGGTCCCAGGGAACTGGGGTATAGGAAAGACTGTTTCCGATCACAGGAGGAGGGCAGCAGCAGGAAAGGTGAGGAAATAGGTCACTGTCTGGGAACATATAAAGCAGTGATGAAACAGGAAACTCGGGGCTGTCAAGAAATTAGGATGATGGCTCCAAGAAGTTTCGTGGGATGGAACCCACAGTAACCACAGAATCAGAGGGCTGAGGACATCTGTGGAAATTAGGCCCTTTCTCTTCCCATGCAATTTATCAAGCTCAGATAACAACAGCGGCAACAACCATGGCATATTTAGCATTTCTACCATGCCACACACTTGTCTTAATTAATACTTCATTGACTTGTGTAATGATCCACTGGAGTAGATAGCATTAGACCCATTTCACAAATGAGAAAATTGAGGGTCCAAGAAATATTTCCCAGGATCTGACAAAAACAGAGCTGGAACCTGAGCCTGACACCAAATCCCACAGCTGTCACTGCTTGGATATCCTACCTCCTCGAAAACATTCCCCCCTCTCCTCTCGGGTGCTGTGGCAGCCTCAGCTTTTCCACGTCAGGACTTGTCGCTACCCAAGGCAATGCATCCCACTTCAAGGAGCTCTCGTTTCTGCAAGTCTTCCTTCTGCTCAGCCAAATATTGCACTAGTTCTGCTCTGCCCGGCAATGGGGTCTATTCCATTTTCTACCATTTTAAAAATAATTTGAGGCATTCATCAGGTGTCCCATGAAGCCTTTTGGATATGCCAAGTCAAATCTAACGTTCCAAGTACCCTCAATTTTTCATATGTGACACAGTATCAAAATCTCCCCTGGAGGTGTGGGCTCTTCTGTCTCAGGCTGCGCTTAGAAATATCCCTCTTTAAATGTGGGATTTGAAACCAAACCAATATTCCACATGGGGCCTTTTTAACTGAGCCCAGCTGGCTTGCAGCTGGAGGCCTCGAAGTCCCGCCAGGCCTGGAGAGGCAGGCTCTCCTGTGCTGTTTTTCTCTACTGATGTTGAGCCCCTCCGGGCATGTTATTGATCCTGTATCTGCTGGAATCTGGGCTGCCCGTGGGCACAAGCCCGCTCTTCCACCGAGAAAAAGGCATGACTGGAATTTCCCTTGTCTCCCTTGACTTCACAAATATCCCTGAGGAGCACAAGGGGTTGGATGGTTGCCTCCCTTCTGTGGGGGCCCTCTGGAGAACCCCCAGGAAGCCCTCTTCAGACCCCACTTTCCTGGTCATGAAAGACCCTTGCCGATCATGCTCCCAGTCCCCTGAAATAAATGTGCTTCCCTTTGGAAGGCCAACGGAAGATCCGATGAGAGTCTATAAAACGATCAGTGCCGTCAGAACTGGAGAGCAGCCTTGCAACTCTCAAGACCCACTGAGTTCTGCGAAGTGCCTGTGGTTCCAGAGGGCACAGGGCTCTGGTTAAGGCAATCCATGGGCAATGTCACCCCAGGGACTGCTGAGACCACTTCTGAGGACTGAGGGGGGGGGGGCAATGGACCTGGAGCATTTTAGTAATAATTCTCCTTTTCATGGAAAAGCATGTCACAGATTTTTAAGCACTCTTCATTCCAGCAGCTTCTTTGATACGTCCTCTCTGCCCCACATCAGTTTTTTCTCCCTGTGAAGAATAGGGACAGTCACCCCAGATTTGTTTCTCAGTGTCATTTCAGAAATACGTGTATCTGTTTGTTTATTCATGTCTTTAGGGTGGATACTCCTCCATTGGGATTATCAATGTTACTTTAAAACATTTCATGGCTTCTGTCTGATTCAGAGAAAGATTTTTCTTTTTCTTCAGAGCACCCCTGCGAACACCTGTTAAATGTCCACCTATAGGCTGCTTAAAGGAATGGGATGGCCCATATTTTCTCTGGGCAAAGAAATCTCATAGGGTAAAGGAGTGGCCAGCTTTCACTATTGCTTTTTATTTTCCTTTTTGAGAGCATGCTTTAAAAAAAGGATTCTTAACTATTACAGAAAGGTTGTACCTTGTTTACCTTCTTCCACCGCCCCCCCCCCCTTGATGTCTGTGCCCTGTTGGACAATGCCTTTGGGGATGGAAGGGTATGAAAGGCATACACTTGATTGCTATAATCTCAGCATTCTGCCTGGTATCTGAGATTGGATTTAATAACACCTTTGGCTCTGAGCAATATCCCAATTCCCAACACTGCCAGAGCACACTGGTTCAGGCTTGCAAATGCCAGGTGGGGAGTGCTGCATACACAGGCACGCCGGAGACAAGGCCAAGGCACCTCCACCCATGCACACGGGCTCTCACACTTCTCCCTTCTAATAAAGGACGCCACACTGCTTATTATGGGATGTGGGAAATTCAGGTGACAGAAGATGGAGGGTTATGGAGATGAGCTTACGGTATATACATTTTCTCTTTTTTCTTTTTTCTTTTTTAGCTGAGCCATCCTGCCACCTGTTGGCAGCTCAGCTCAGGCCGGGAATCGAACCAGCAAGCCTGTTGCTCAGAGCTCGCACTCTTAAGTGAGTTCTTAACCAACTGAGCCACTCAGCCAGGTATATACATTTTTAAGAACTGTCACTTCTGTGAGTTGGGCTGGGGTGTTGTCTTGTCAATCTGCATCACAATGACAGTTATCATGAGGTCCACAGAGCCCACCTAAGAAGCTGTAAGTCAGCCCAGTCTTTGTTTTCTTTCTGTTATTCCTTGGATCCCAGAGAGGTTAACAGCTACACTGGTAACAATCACCTCTGTCTTTCCTTTTGATGTAATATTCCTCTCTTCCTTAAGATGGAAGGTGAAGAAATGTTCCCAGCCCCTGCCGGAGGCTTACCCTTCCCAACATGGGGACTGCCTATCTCTGGCAGATAGGCACACACACCTCCAGGCACATGTCCTGACGTGTGTGTCTGAGGGTACAGGAGATATGGGACCAATATGATTTTGGGGTGTTAGTTTAAAAAAAGATTTTTTTGGTGTGTGTGTGAGGGATATGGTTTAATAATTTAGCTGGCACATAATTTGAAAAATTATGTTAATTAATCTAAATATAGTTATGGTATGGAATCAGAGTCAAATTTTACAGGAATTTTAGGGATGAAAAAGGAGACATCAGGGATAGCTCCTTCTTACACGGGACCACTTTGTGCTAGTCTCCTGGTGCTCTGGGTCCACTTTGTCTCCTCAGTCATCAAGAGCATGATTGTGGAAAAGGGCAAGGGTGCAGGGCCCGAGGGGGTCCAGCCTGGTGAGGCGATGAGTGGCTGAATCCAGGTGATGCGGAAAAGCAGCGTGCTCCTGCATTGAGTGACACCCAGACACGGCCAGCAGCTGGCTGGGAGCCACCTGGGGAAATCCTTCCCTTGTTCACCCAGCCAGTTGGGAACAGCTGCCCCAAGTGGACGCGTCCACATGCTCTTGATCAGCTCCCTGCTCAGTGAATCCACACCTGGGAACTGGCTGCTATTTTGGTGTCACGGAATGTTCACTGCTGTTTGAAAATAAGACAACTCAGTGTGGCCTGGGACAAAGGCTCCATCTGGCAGATTCAGCCTCCAGGATAAATTAAGTGGTGCCATGTTAAACAGCTTTCTGAGAGGAGACAGGGCTTATTAAGAAGTAAATAAACAGCAAGAGGAGTTTGTAACCAACTGGATGCCATAGGGAAGCAGGTAAAAGTTGGGGGTTGGAATGAAGGAGGAGAGGATGCTTAAGGCTTCCCTTCTCCAGCATGTGGGTTTTATAAACAGGGTTTCAAGAAACTGGAGTAGAGGGGATTTATCAGGAGGATGTGCTGCCTGTGGGATTCCCTATTCAAAATAGGTTGATGCGCTGACCTGGGCTGTCCCTCAGGAGGCTTGAATGTCAGGCCCAGAATGGCCACTATTGAAAGGGGAATACCAGGGAGGATGAGTGCCGTGCGGGGATTAAGAGCAGGCTTGAGACCCGGCTTCACCACTTACTCCCTGTGTGAAACCGGGGCACGTTATTTAACCCCTCAGTACCTCGGAGTTTTCAATGGAAGTAACATGTGCATTTGCCACAGAAGGACTGGTGACATGATGCACACAAAGGACTGAGCTCAGGGCTTTGCACTTAGTGCTCATAAATATCAGCTTATTTTCTGATGATGCTGACAATGACAACTGTGATTGTTCGCGTTCCAGCGAAGGCCAGGAGCTGCTATGCAGCCCCAGCCGTCCTTCTTCATACTGTTGGGACACCCAGTTTATGCCTGTGATTACATCTCCTGGCCTGAGTTCAGGCACACAATGCATAAACACGAGAAACTCGAAAAATCCAAACCTTTTCCCTAAGCCCAGAAATGAGAGACCCAAGCTTAACAGATCAAAGACTTAGGGCTCTGGATGTTGGCTAGTGGGGCAAACTCCCAGAAAAGTGTTTCCTTAAAATCACAGCTGCCCAGCAAGTTCTTTTGTGGATGTTGACAAACTGATCCTGAAGTGTCTAGGGAGAGGCAAAAGACCTAGACTAGTCAACACAATATTTAAGCAGAAGGACAAAGTTATAGGACTGATACTACTGACTTCAAGGCTTTCTGTAAAGCTACAGTAATCAAGACAGTGTGATACTGGCAAAAGTATAGACAAATAGATCAATGGAACAGAAGCGAGAG